ATCCTTTGCTAATGCCCACTACCAAAACAAGAAGAGTGTTAGAGTCATGATGCTGAAAAGTAAAATTAAATGAATTAAACTACTGGAACCATATAGGGTTAACCACCCCATTTCCAGCCTATTAAGCACAACCCGCACTTATTTTTTCTTAATCTAGCGCAGTTTACCTCCAAACGGAATCGTATTATTACTGATGGCTTCCAAATTTATTTACCTTTCCGTACCGTAAGATTTGATAAAGAGAAACCAATCGTTGAGATATTGTCAAAGGTCTAACACTGCTTCTTGGCGAATGAAGTAATGAAATTGGGTTGTTAGCGGAATGCTTAAATAAAACAGCAAAAAAGGGTTATCTTCCATTTAATTCCACTTAATTAATTTTGGTATCCATGACATATACGTATTTCGGCTACAATGTACAGTCTTCATCAGTGTCATTCCCACTTCTTGACGCCAAACTTGGCCTACGGATTCTAAACTCGGCCTAACGCATTGAAACGCCATTGAAACGCCAATGAATTCACTTCGGCCCATCGGATGAAGATAAAAATTGATTCGGTCGCAGTGCTTCTTTTGTTTTTAGGAATAATGGGTACAAACCTTCACATCACGCGTTCTCATTGACTTTGTTCCGTAGCTTATTAACTAAAGTATCGTACCAAACGCGTAATTGACTTGTTAACTCTGAAATTATGGATTTATTTGAAGTTTTCTGTTCGATGGGTCCAAAATGGACAATTAGGCCGAAGTAGTTCTCTACCCTATCATGCTAATGAATTCAAAGTAATTTTGAAGTTTACAATTTACAGAGTTGGGAGGGAATGCTATACTAATACAGCCATTCCAAAGCAAAACGATACAGGGGTTCTCAGAATTTCGTAAAAATTTGTAATTTTGTTCCTTATCGCAAAATATTACACTGATATTTTTTTATTTTGTCATTAGGGTGACCATTTACATATTAAGGTAGCTCAAAAAATCGATTTTTTCAAATTGACTTTTATCAAAAATTCATAACTTGAGGTTCAAAAGCCTATTTCAAAGATCAAAATATCAAATAAAAGTTAATTACAAATAATTTTTAGGAAAAAATATACTGCAATTTAAACAATGGGGTTTTGTGTTGAAGAACATTGATTGTATTTGTTTTTATGGTTTTCATAGTTTGTAGACATACAGCGCAATGTGATTTTATATTCTTCCTTGAGAATTTAGGCTATTTGTTCTCGATTTTGAGTTATATTTTTTGAAGTTATCAAGTTTTGGGTTTTCGCTCAATACTCCTATGCGACTAGACTACCATGCGTTTCCATTGTTTTATAGCGACTGTAGACATGAGCTGGAATAAAAACATTCGTCCAACTTCTTTGTATCAAAGGGTGACCTGTAGGTAATTTTATGCATATCTTCGAAATTGTAGCGCTGTAGATGGAGAATCACGAGAAACATATGAAAAGGGCTTATATTAGAGGAAATACCAAATTTCTAAACATTAATTTTACAATATCTCAAAAACGGTTACGTTTAGGATGTTGTTCACCGAGTCTATTTTTATTTATTAAGTCTCAAAGAGTCATATTAGTTTATTGCAATATTCTTATTTATTCTAATTCATCAAATTTGAAATATTATTGAAAAGTTTATCTTCCCCTTTATCTTCTGTCATGGATACCAAAATTAATTAAGTGGAATTAAATGGAAGATAACCCTTTTTTGCTGTTTTAATTAAACATTCCGCTAACAACCCAATTTCATTACTTCATTATGATGGATACCAAGCCTTTGGGATTTTCTTTATTAGAGATTTGAATAGATTTTTCTCCTTTAGTTTACTTAAATCTTTGGTTTTATTAGTTAGGTAGGTCCCGATTCAACACATTGTAGTTTCATTTTTATACCTGTGATCTTGACTTTTATACCTAGGGAATGAGTATCTGTCATGGATACCAAAATTAATTAAGTGGAATTAAATGGAAGATAACCCCTCTTTTTTTTTGCTGTTTTATGCATTCCGCTAACAACCCAATTTCATTACTTCATTCCCCGAATTGTTTAATTTGAAATTACTCCATCTCGGATTAACGTTTATTAATTGTATTTTGACATATGGTCATAAAGGGTGATACGGTCAAAATTTGGTCAATATCAACTTGACGTATTTCTTTCAATTTTGCATTTAAAAAACCTGAACACCCCTCATTTTGAAGGTGTGTGTGTGTAGAATGTTGCTCCTATTTTGATTTTGGAATTCACTCTTCAGTTGTCAAAATGCCGTCCAAGCAAGAAGAGCAGCGTTTCAAAATTTTGCTCGTGCATCGCGAAAATCCGAGCTACTCACTCGCAAAGTTGGCAAAATCGCTAAAAGTTGCCAAATCAACCGTTACAAATGTAATTAAAGTGTTTGGGGAACGTTTGTCGACAGCCAGGAAGTCTGGATCGAGGGGAAATCGAAAACCGGAAGCCGCTGAGACGACAAAGAGAGTTGCCGGTAGTTTCAAGCGAAACCCTAACCTCTCTCTCCGAGATGCCGCAAATAAGCTGGGTGTATCGTCTACAACCGTGCATCGAGCCAAAAAACGAGCCGGACTATCGACTTACAAGAAGGTAGTGACTCCAAATCGCGATGATAAACAAAATACGACGGCCAATGCGCGATCCCGGAGGCTGTACACGACGATGCTGACGAAGTTTGACTGCGTGGTAATGGACGACGAAACCTACGTCAAAGCCGACTACAAGCAGCTTCCGGGACAGGAGTTTTATACGGCAAAAGGAAGGGGAAAGGTAGCAGATGTTTTCAAGCACATGAAACTGTCAAAGTTCGCAAAGAAATATCTGGTTTGGCAAGCCATCTGTACCTGTGGCTTGAAAAGCAGCATTTTCATAGCTTCCGGGACTTTCAACCAAGAAATTTACGTGAAAGAGTGTTTGAATAAACGTCTGCTGCCTTTCCTGAAGAAACACGGTTGTTCCGTACTGTTTTGGCCGGATTTGGCCGGATTTGGCATCTTGCCATTACGGTAAAAAGGCCATGGAGTGGTACGCCGCCAACAACGTGCAGGTGGTTCCCAAGGACAAGAACCCTCCCAACACGCCACAGCTTCGCCCAATTGAGAAATACTGGGCTATTGTCAAGCGGAACCTAAATAAGACCAAAAAAACTGCTAAGGGCGAGCAGCAGTTCAAGGCAAACTGGCTTTCTGCGGCGAAGAAGGTGAACAAGGTGGCTGTACAAAATCTGATGGCAGGGGTCAAGCGTAAGGCCCGGCAATTCGGATTTGGAAAAGCGGAAGCCTAACTGAATATTTTTCCTGAATTTTATACTAATTGAACTTGAAAAAGAAATTTAATTTGATTTTTTAAATAAACGATTTCACCGATTTACACGCGTTTTCCCTTGACCAAATTTTGACCGTATCACCCTTTAGCAGTAAAAAAGTAGAAGGGTCTGTGCCTAGGGGCACGAACGGAAGCTTGACGTAGGACCGCTAGTGGACGGAATAAATGTGAAGAGGATTTAGTTCTTTTATTTGATCAATTATCTATTATCTCAACTCTTTCCGTTTTTGAATTGTAGGCGTACCAAATTTGTAGTAATCTTTTGCAAAGAGAAAGTTGATTAAAAGCATCAATCAAAATCACTTGCACTTTTGTGACAGCATCACGGACCTCATTTTCCAGGAACACCTTCAGCACACTTCGTAGATCAGACCGGAGATACGTTTGACACCACCACGACGAGCCAGACGACCGATGGCGGTTATCTCGAAGAACTTTGCGATGACGCTTGGCACCTCCTTTACCAGACCTTTTCCTCCTTTACCACGAACAGTCAATTGTTGCTTTTTAGGTGTGAAGGAGTGGACTAGCGACTAGCCACCACCTTCCTACTGCTGCTATTGCTGTTCACCACGCCGTCCGAAGCGAAAATGAGCTAATGCCATACAGCAGCGTTCTTTTATATCTTTTCAGCTTTTCTAAATGCTACAAAGACTCCTCCCAATTATGAGTAGTTTGCTATCAAGTAGCGACATCGCCATTTTGATTCCAGCCTTATTTTTGAAAAGGGCATATAGAAAAATATCAAGCTTATCTTCAGAAATTTTTTACTCGAAAACTGTTTGCCTGATCGGTTTGGTGTCTTGGGAAATATTGTAGATAATGAATAAGACTATTTGAAAAAAATATGCACTCATAAAAAAATACCCAACTTTTTTTTTTATTTCAACTAAAATCTTACAAACAATTTTTATCAAAAAAGGGATTTTTACGTATTTTTTATTTGTTGATATGTTTTAGAGAACAAAAATGCCATCTATTGCACAATAGATCAAGATGGAGAAATAATGGACAAAAAAGTTATAATATAAAAAAAAACTCAAGTTTTTGGAAAAATATCCAAAACTTGGTCAAATTACTGTTTATACAATGAATGTACACCAAATTTACAATAAAAAAGCACTCGAATTAAATTTTGCTAAGTCACACCGTTTTCAAGATGTAGCAGTTTGAAAGTTTGGATAATTTTCCAAAAACTTGAGTTAAAAAAAAAACATAACTTTTTTGTCCATCATTTCTCCATCTTGACAATCTCATTGATAGTGCAATAGATGGCATTTTTTGTTCCCTAAAACATATCAACAAATAAAAAAAAATACAAAAAATCCTTTTTTGAGTAATATTGGTTCTAAGACTTTATTTGAAATTAAAAAAAATACAAAAAATAAACCTATTTGCGAATTTGTAGGGAATTCCTATAAAGGAACACATTGCGCTAACGTACGTCCACTATTGGTGCGTTTATCCTTATTAAAATGCAAGAAAAAAAAACGAAGTGTCTTTCAAATGGAAGATTTTGGGAACACTTCATATTTCGTCATTTTTGCAATCATTTCTCTGTTAAACAATATCTGCTCTGCTGAAGCACTTCATAGCTTTTCACCTGTCGAATAATAATTGGAAAATCAAGGACTGTGATATCATTCATAAGACTAAATGCGTATTTTTTAAAAATATATATATTTAAATACATAAATTTGATACAAATTATACAATTCATTTTCATATCTTTTATTGATTATGATTAAAAGTGACATTTTATAAACCTACCGAATAATAGCTACTATAGGGGTTCGTCAGTAGTACGTTTTAGATTAAATTTGTAAGTAGTGATTCAAGATCAGTTCTGAAAGTTGGGACAACTTTGTGGAAAGTAATGGTTCTCTTTTTCTCATCACTAATAGTTTTGATGTGTTTGCTTTAAGATTAAAAATTTTTAAGACGAATATAGCATAGTTTAGAGTCAATTTTTGAATAGGGCTGCTGGGCGCCAAAGAGGCCCGCTCTATCACCTAGTTTTATATCCCGGTGATGGCATCAAAGATATAACAGTTGAGTTGAAATTTCACAAATTTCACTTCATTACACGTGTTTAGACCCTAAATAACTGTGGTACTTATAGGACAATGTAATAAATTAAAAAATCACCTTCTTCTAGCGGTCACTGTTCCGTTTTAAAAAATACATAGAAAAGAAGGTCCATCCTTTTCTTTGCTGTATCAAACAAAAACTAATATATCACAATTCCGAAACACGTTTCCCTACTTGCTATACGAGTCTGTTACTTTCTTTTTTTTTCCGTACGTTTGCAACAGCTATTTCACTTCTCCCATCATTTTCGCTGTACTACAATCTTCCCTGAAGATAAAAGTTGCCTTCAACTGTTTGTCCTTGTATTGTTGCATTAAACAGTTGAGTTAAAATCTAGGCTATCATACTTGGACTGATTTCCCCCTCCTCGTTCTGTTCCCTTGTTATACTGTTTTCTTATCTCCTTCTTTCTCATTATCGGTCACTGCGCTCTCCAGAACGTGTTTGCTTAAAAAAATAACAACTGACAAAAATGCTATCTTTCTCCTTAATAATTAATAATAAATATTTCTTAAAGTTCCATTCTGCTCGTAAAACGAAAACTTTCCACCATATCTTACAGCTGTAACGCACAATCACTCGTTTCCATCTTTGCACTTTTGGACCTTTCTCAGTCACCACTATTCATCAGCGTTTAGTGCTCATCACAATTATGACGTTCATTACCGAACTAGATCTCGCGGTCGTACGACGACGGGTTCAACTTGTATCACTGTGCCGCGGCTGTGACACCAAATCCGCTGCCAGCGGTATTGGAAATCATCATATTCTTGATAGTGGCCACTTCCGACTCCAGCCGGGCCAATTTCGACTGGAGATGGATGTTTTCCTCGGCCTTCTTGCTGATGACGACCGAAGCCGGGATTGAGGTAATTTTGCCACCGACTATGTTACCAGCCGAGGTCGTGCTAGATGCGATGGATGAAACCGACGTCGAAGGGGGTGACGAAGGAAGCGGGACCATCATTTTCTGTTCCGCTTTCGTTGGCCATTCGGTAGAGATGCCGGAGTCACGTTCATCCGAAGAGCCATCTCCGTCGTCCCAGGGAGAGGACGATCGAATCTGTGGTTCCTGTTTGATGTTTTGCAGAGCCAGCAGGGCTGTGGCTGCATCCTTGTCTCCGAGGTGTGATTTGTGTCGTAGCTTCAACGGTAGGGTATTGTGATGATCGTGGATGTGTTCACGATCATGGTCGTCATCGCCGGAACTACTGTGACTGCTGTTGGAGCCGGTTCCGTTGGACGTTTCGTATGGTGACGGTGCCCGACGGCTGAGGTTGAGTACGTTAGCGGTGAGCAATGCGTTGATCTCCCGTGGAGGTGATGGATAGAGATTGCCAGCATAGCTGACGGGGTAGTTAGGAATCGAGTAGGGTGAGGAGTACGGATGGTGCGAAATGTGTGGACCACTGATGTGCGAGTTGGATGATCCAAAGGTAGGAACCGGTTGGACAGAAACATCGTCGCGATCCATGAGGCGTTCACGGTCACGGTCGCGATCACGATGTTCAGCGAGTGGCTCACCGCGGTGTTCTTCATGATCCATTAGCTCCACTCTGGTTAGAGGACTACGGATCGTCGACTCGTGCTTATTACTTTCGCACCGGCTGCTACCGTTGGTAAGGGGTTCGTACTCTCGGTAGATGGTGACGGGCGAATGGTGACTGTAGTGTGAGCTTGTATGCTGTATTGTGATCTGTTGTAACTGTGAAGCGATTGACTGTGGTGGAGGGGGAGATTCGATGTTAGGATTGGGATGAATTACTGCTGCCTGCTGGGACTGTTGTTGCGGTGGCTGTTGAGCTTGATGCTGCTGCTGTGGCTGTTGAACAACCGATGGCTGCGAATGGGGCTGATGTGGATGGAGCGATGGTATTTGTGGTCCAGGTTGTGGAGTCATTGGTGGCGGTGGAACTGAAGTCCTCGCCAAGGGGAATACTATTGGTGGAGTGCTACTGATTTTAACTCGCTTCGTTGAACTGAGGACTTGCTCGTTGGTCGGGAGTGTAGCCATGATTTGATCAACGCTCACCAAATTCTCCCCGCAAATGTTGTATTTGACTTTAATAGCATCTAGCTGCGCTTTCAGTACGTGATTCTCCTTGGTTAACTCGACCACTCGTTGTTCCAGGACCATATCGTTGAAGCGTCGCTTTTCTCGCGAACGCTTGGCCGCTTCATTGTTACGTCGCCGCCGGTCCCAATAGCTGTCGTCCTTCTTATTGTCCGGGATGAACTCCCGCTGTTTGCGCTGACTGAACAAGTCTTTGCGCTTGAGTTGGCCCGATAGATCGTAGCCATTTCCATTGTAGTCAGAGTCCGGGCTCATAGGACTTTCACGTCCCGTTGAATTGCTACTCATCAGTAAGGCGCTGTGTGCTGTGAGAGAAACCGAAACGCAAAAAAAAAGCAGATGATTAGAATCGATCCGTTTTATAATAAATATTATATGTAAACCTACCAGGCATGTTGGAGTTGTTGTGGTTCTGGCCGGGTATTTCGCCGTTAATTGGCGAACCGTTGTGTGGTCTTGATACAAAATCCGCAACCATCATAGTCTGTCTTAGTGCATCTGCAACGAGCGGGGGAATAACAGAAATGCAAACAACTCGATTAGCAAAAACGTGCAACGAACTGCGCCGTGAGAATACTCCGGACTCAAATACACCCACACACACACATACTCAGTAACACTCACACCACTCCATAACATTCAAAACATCAACAACAGAAGGCAGTTCAACTGGCTGGCGGGCAAACCCTGAAGTGTGTTGTAATCAATAGTGGGATGCACGTGAAGCCGACATGTGACAATGTGGATCCGCTACATGATAGCTTCGCGACTTATGCATAACTATACACATACACACACACACACACACACACACACCTGAAGGGAGTGAAGAACGTGCGCGTGCTATTGATTTTTATCGTGTAGCTTCTAACGTATCCACCTGCAACGCCATCGACTGCTTTCGATAGGGTAGATACGTCGTCGTCACGTCATCAGGCCTTTACTACACAACGAAACAAGATTAGATGAGTGGCTTGACAGGCCCTTGAAGAACCGTTGAGGTGCCCTGATTGAGAGATGCGGTGGTGGTGGCGATCACAGCACCGACAACATGCGGAAGAAAAACGTGCGCTTACGCGAGGATTGTATTTTTTAGCGAATTTTTGTAGATCGACTTTCCGGCTGTTGTGAATCACATTTCCAGTGAGGTTTGTTTACATGATCTATACCCGCTGAGCAGGGTGGAGTGCGATTGGAGTTGGGTGATCAGCTCGGGAATACGGGAACGAAATCCATTTGCAATTACAAAACAATTGAAATCACGTAAACACTCGATGGTTATGAATCACCTATATAGCCATTCGCGATGGAATTTAGGCCGCTGCTGCTGCTGGTTATCTTATCAGTAGTGTGGCGAGCGGAAGGTAGGTTGGTAGGTGAATTATTTGGTGCAATTTGTTCGGTAGGTTCATTCCCCTCTTTTGGCTTTGTTTCACAACAACTGCGCGCTATCATGAGTGACTTTTATTTTGTTTCGAAAAGTGAAGGCACAATGCATTCTGGTTTGACTAAAAATATACGTGAGCAATATGGTCTGCGCAGTCGTTATAATGTAGCAGAGTGGCTTTGTCTGGTGGGGATTACTTTCGATCATCGGAAAAATGTATTGATTTAACGATGGAAATTTGTAATTTAGAGCTTAGGTTGCTTGGAGTTATGTCGTCATTGATTTATAGGAATGCAAGGATCTAGGCAGGCTTTGATTCACCTCCATTCATTTACCTATAACTTTTGAATAGATAATGGCTTTCAATACCATGAAGTAACAATGAACCAAAATCAGGAATTATTGGGCACAATACTCAACTCAACAAAAATTTTCTTAATGGCATATAACAGTTTCAATCGGGTTAAACAAATCTATTTAATCTAACTCGATGGTGAAGCATTCATAAATGTTTTTAAAATGAGGTATGCAACTTTGGACAACATTTGAAATATTTTGTCATTTCCAATAAAATATTAAGCATTTGGTTTATATTAGCAAATGCTTTGATTGATTAATTACAGAACTGATCGTCTGTAATTGAATAAGATACTTTTAAGGAGAATCTGATTTCACTATTAATTGGGCAGTGAATTTCTTATAGTAGGTATCAAAACTATCCCGAGTTTCAAGGGGATAACATTTGAGTGAATATAACCGGCGATCGATAATTTAGAAAAATCAAACAGAAGGAATGTTTTTATCTTGTCTCAAAAACATTTGAAAGGCTGCATTTAAAACCGGTGCATTCGGGTAAAATGTGTGCATGGAAATTAAACAACTGTTAAAATTGGCATACAACTATATAAACTGATTGATGTCACCAGGGACTATATCATGCATGATTTAACACAAATACAAAAAAAAAACTGATTACCCATTGTAACGATTATTTACCCATTGTTCAATGTTACTGTATGCTACCGCTAAAAGCTATGTGCAGAATAAAATAATTTTTATTTTTTTAATCTATGGCAAAATGTAATTGATTAATTGATAGAAACTAAGCTAAAAATATATCGTTCAAATCATAAGTGTGAGTCGTATTCAATCCTACGTGATGTTACTAATCTTAACCGTGTAACATTTTGGGTTTTAAAACTGCGAGGGAGTAGACCGGACAATAACAGTTGCTCTACTTAACAATGACGAAGCACATTTCCATGAAATGAAGAATAGATTTTCTAGCAATTGGTGATGCCATTTTGCAATATGTTTCAACAACAATGTGGAATGAATCAGCTCATTTGCCAAAACAACCCTAAAATTATAACGAAATTATTCCAAAAACTCATCACAATCGATTGATAAGAGTATGACGTCACGAAATGTTTTCAATTTGGAAAACCCGATTACCACCACGGCAATTTCAGAATGTGGTTCAAGGAAAATTACATATTACGTATTAGAGCTCATGGTCATGTGACTCCACGCCACACGTTGAAGCAGATCGAAATCATCGTTTGATCTGCGAACTGAACGACCGCAGCGCAAAAGAGTCCTGTTGACAAACAAAATTAATAACACATATTTATATTACTACGCCTCGGGGCTCGAAGAACCATTCGGTATCGGGTGCAAAAAGTAAACAGTATTCGAATTGTACTCGCACTTGAAATTCTCACAGTTCCATTAACCCATGACAAAACCGTTTTTTTGTTGTATCACAGACTGCAATCTGACATGCGCCGCGTTACATCGAAGGCACGATGCAATTTCAGCTCGTTGCTGTTCTTCTACATTGTAACATGCACGTGTAGTCAATTCGTTGACTTGTGCTTACTGCTGCCATCCCCATCCGGAACATCCTTTCCGCCACCTTCCTTCAAGTGTGGCAAACAATAAAATATTCACCCGCTCTCGAACAAGCCCACTCACGTAGGCCACCACTGCCACCGCGAATGCAGTTCAGCTATTTCATCATCTTGTTCAATTGCACCTGTTCTCCAACCTACGGTTGACGAATATATTTTTTTTTTCGAGTGAAAGGTTCTATTGTGCTTTGACCAGCTCAATCAAGGCCCATGAAGAGTCACGTTACACCACCACAAGTCACATTTTACGCCTACGATGATGGTCCACTGTTTGCATCATAATTCCAATTTAGAACCCCATTGTGTTGTGTTCTGAGTGGAAAACGTGTACCACGAGGAGCGAGCCGCGTGCCCTCGCGCTGTTACGCCATCGTCATCATCATCGTCATCATCATCATCGGCGTCGCGATCAACAGCATCGGCGCAATTTCGCCGTTTTGTTATTGTCAGAGCAGGAGCACACGGTCTGCGGTAGACTCCCACCGCTCTTCTCTCACCTCCTTCATTCACACATCCTATCCCTTGTCTTTTTTTGTGGGGTACTTCCCGTCGGTTCTTATCTTTCTAGTTGGTTACTTTGCTAATCACAAGTCGCGCGCTCTCGATTAGGTAACGTCCTGCTAGTAGAGAGCACTATCTCACTCATTAACAAATTCACCATGCGACGCATGAAATTTGTTTGCATCCGCGAATGACGTCGTAGGAAACCTTTATGGTCGGGAAAAACACTGAGTCACTTTTCAAGTTCTTCGGAAATTGTTCGAGTCTCTGGATCAGGTGCAGTGCACACTCACCTACACGTAGACACACATATCAATATAGTTTGATTCACATTTTCAAAGGTTCATGTCACGTCGCGAAGGTTCATGGACGAAGGTCATGAATGATGAAATCTTGCAGCTGGTTATGAATCACTGAAATGATCCTTCTTTGAAATTTGAAACACCCGTCGGGAATCGAAAAATTGTAACTGACCAACTATCTCCATAAAAATGTGATCGAATGAAGCTTCCTGGTATGAGGTAATTTTCCAGGACACACTTGGTTAGTGACAATTTTTCAAACTTCCTCAGACGAATATCTCATTGCAAAACCGCTGTGTTCAAGTACTCGTCAGCCAGCCAGCCAGCGGAAAGATCTCCCACCCCGAGTCCTGATTTATAATCTCGCATTGCGCGCTGCACCAACGCCAGGAGTTGGGGTCAAAGAATCTTCAATGGAAACTGCATGCAGCACAGTTTAACTGCCTTTGTTGTCTGCCTTTGCCCGCCGCCGGTTCACAGAACTCTCCAAAAATATACATACAACACACATACCACACTTGGCGCACGAACACGCCGGGCGCACGAGTACTCAAAAAAAGTGAAAAACAAGAGCAACACTCACTGTCTAACAGCCTGTCTGGACGGGGTCGTTGGGGGACAAGGGCCTCCAAAAAAAATTGCGCTGTTTTTCTGTTTTCTGTTATTCTGTTCAACTTGATGTTGTAATCCTGTTTCTGCTGTTTCGGTGTTCTCGTTCTGATTCAACCTCGAAACACCAATGTTCTGCCAACGTTAGCACTTTTTTTCGTCAATATTCTTCACACCGTATAGTTTTTGCCTTCTTCGATCGTCTGTTTATTCGTTGCTTACAGCGACCTTAAAATTACCACAAAAAATCCACCAAAATAAATTGAACTTTACGAACTTGCGAAACGCGCGCACTTGTCTTGACCGAGATTTGTTCAGACCGCTGCGGAACTGTAACGATTCGCGTGCTCTCTCGAAGCGAGTATATGTAAGACTAGTTCGAACGGCTCCCAGGAAGGTACCATGAAGTGTCGAACTCGCAGCGTACTGTATTTCCCCCCGAGTGGCTCTGTTAGCGTGTATGAGTCGGCTGTATCCGTGAGCCAGACACGAATGAGCGCAGCCAACGACGACGACAACGTCTGCAATACATAGCCGCATCCAGCAAAGGGGGAGAATGAAGTAATACTTTTCCATCCCATGTTTTGATGTTGAACTTCCACGACGACGCCAACGGTGCGGCGCGGGTGCGGTGAGCCCGTGCTCCAACTATGTATTGAATTTTCTCTTGAGGTCTCGTTCGTTGCGGCGCTGCAACCGGCATGGAGGCGGCGGGCGAGCCATACGTCTCTGACCCACAACCGGAGAAATTGACGCAATACAGAGAATCTAGGTAGGTACCTACGCGCTTTGTGGTGTGCTGCGGGCTGTTGCAGTTGCTACTTTTACCTCCCGCGTTCTGTACTCTCACTTTAGTTGGCGCTTGCCACCCACCCGCCGTCTCCCCCACACCAACATACGTTGCCAATTTACGCTTGTTTGTTTCACTTTTGGTATGCCTCTGTGTTTCTCCCGCTGCATAAGTGCGTAGGTATAATATGCGACTTTTCACATCCCTTCGGTAAATCGAACATCTGAGTTCGCAAAGAAAAGCGCACATCATTTCACCCACCCCAATCTGTCTGCTGCATCAGAGGAAAACTCCTTCAAATGACGACGTGCGCCGCCGCCCGTCAGAGGAAAAACTTTGGCAAACAGAAAGAATGAAACGCTGTTTGGTAGGTCGGTATGTAGGTAGGTAGGTAGGTAGGTACATACATGCATGGTGTAGCCAGACGATGATGTCGGGATCGTGGATGATGATGGTAGGTGCATTGCAAACATACGGAACAGTCAGGAAGCGGAAAGTCTCGCCAACCAAACACAAAGAATTACCCGACGGTGTTGGATGGGAGGCAGTGCTGTCGAATGATTTTTGATTTTAATAGCAGATTGTTGGTTTTTAAGTTTCCAGAACAGTACGGAGTGGGTTGGAGAGGTTTGCACAATCCAACTAATTATTCTGAATGAATGGATGCAAATAAAAAGTAGATTTCAAAATATTTAATGACAAATACAGTCAGGAATCTTTATTGCCGGGGTAACGGGATCGTGAATAAGGAACCGCGAATAAGGATACTCTCAGCTTATGGGATTTTCACTAATAGGGGCTGTGGTCGATTATCTCATTTGTTTCAATATATAAAGCTATACTGTCTTGGACAAATTTGTTGTACTGGAGTGGACCAAATAGCATGTGTCATTCGATTAAGGTTTAAGGTTCACTTTCATATTACTTATGACGGGCACTATATTATATGGAATTTGGAACCAACATAGAATATCTCTTGATCTTGGCCATGCAGAAAGTTGCTGTCTTCAGTAAAGTTGTTCAAGTAACCAAGTCCTTTCGAATGGATGGTTTAGAACTCTCGCACTCCGCGGAGCTAGTGTGCACATAAACTTCCTGTATATTCTGTATTGTTGCAAAGTTGTTAGGGCGATGAAGCCCTTTCGGATGGTAGTCATATTAGTCCATAACTCATATCATATTAGTTCTGAACTCTCACACTACGTGGCGCTAGTGTGCATATGAACTTCCTGTAAAAGCTGTATCTCGAGATCCTGGCCACATAGAAGGTTACTGTCTTCAGCAAAGTTGTTCAGGTGACCAAGTCCTTTTGGATGGTTTTCATATTAGTCTAAAACTCACTCACTACGCACCACTATTGTGCACGTGAACTTCCTGTATAACCTGCATCTTGACATCGTGGTCATATAGAAGGTTACTGTGTTGAGCAAAGATGTTCAGATGACCACGGTCTTCCAGCTGATGTTTATGTTCGTTCAAAACTCTATCACTACTTAGCACTAGTGTACATGTGAACATCCTGAATATGCTATGTCTCGAAAGCCTGCCCATATAGATGTTACTGTGAAATGTAAGTATTTCCGGAACATAGGACCGTGTAGAGGGCGGATATCGATGCAAGATGCCATTCTGGAATGCAATATGGCGGCCATCTGTTTTAGAAATACTGTCAAATAATCTACAATATGGGCACTTTCGGGAAGAGACCGACGTGTAGATGTCAAAACTCGATGTCCGCCACCATTTTGAAATCCAATATGACGGCCACATGTTTTAGAAAAGAATCTCCCAAATTCCCAAAAATATGGGCATTTTCCGAACAAGGAGGTCGTGTAGATTTAAAAATTGGATGTCCACCGCCATTTCAAAAAGGTCAAATATCGATTTTGGACACCATTGTGAAATCCAAAATGGCAGCCGTCAGTTTTAGAAAAAACTGTCAAATACCCAACAGTATGATTATTTTTGGAACGAGGACGTCCCCTGCCATTTTAGAATCCAAGGTCGGTTTATGAAAAAAAAGCGTTCAAATTCTCTACAATATGGAAATTTTAGAGGACGGGGATGACGTGAACAGGTTAAAAATCTATGTCTGCTACCAATTTGAAATCCAAGATGGTGGTCATCGGATCTAGAAAAAATAAACTCAGAGTTGGGAGGAAATGCTATACAGGTCGGACTTGATTATCCAGGTGTGCGATTAGCCAAGAGTTCGATTATCTGGGGCTCGATTATGCAGATGGAATGGCTAGATTATCCGGAGTCATAATTTGTTTTCTGTAGTATTGGATTTGAGTAAGTAAAAACAAGAAATAAAGTGTAAATGCAAGAACTATTGATGCATTCTAACCATGTTGAGCCTATTTGTACTTGGTGGAGATAAACGAAGTGATAAGGAAGGTAAGATGACGAAGGCATCCTGAGGTGAACATACCACACCATCCTGAGCTGTGAAGGAGCTGCGAGGGACCATACCAGGTGACTCATTGCATAGTTGATAATACGATTTGAATTGTTGCGTAGTTGAAAATTTTCTTAATAAAACTTAATCAACGTGTAACCAGTTGGTTACAATCCGTGGATTTTCGTTTGTATGAGTTGTTGTTGTTTGGAAAATTCACGTTTTGTTAAACCTAAAACAGTAGACACACACAAGAGCGAGAGGGTTTGTGCCGCTGCAAACAACAACGTAACGTTACTGAAGGGAGGAAAGTCTTGGCTTTAAAATAACAATGGATGAATAGCTAGCCATCTTAGATTTGGAAGATTAGGCAGAAGTAACCAGGCGTCCGTGTAGACCAGTTGAGTGTTAAGTGTAGTGTGTATATAATACAACCCCCCCCCCCCCCTTGTGGAGTTTGGGCTGGAAAGCCTACCTCCGTTCAGGACCTCTTGTGCTTTTGTACATTTTGTACACCTCGTACCGTAAATAAAACGGTCTTACACGGCTAGGCTCGGAGGTCAAGATGGCTTCCGAGCCTAATGGTAAATGATACTCGATCGTCCGTCAGGGACGATTCCCTCAGACCGGTGGCCTTAATTGTCAAGGAGGGTCCCGTCTCGGCTCGACCAAGGTGGCCATGCCACAGTCAGCCGATTTTGTCAACGACGGAAGACGCCTGCCAGCCAAACGAGCCAGCAACGCCTGCTGAGCCGTATGTGGCTGATGAACGCCACCAGATCCGCCATTCTCCCAAAGCGGCAACAACACTGTCTGCAGCCCACGCCGCAAGTTCCGGCCACACGGTAGTGCAGGAGCAGCTGTGTGGGCCAACGCCAGCGTCGCGATACCGAAGGAGAATCTGCTGCAACAGTGAGTACCGTACCGTTCATAAGTCATAACCCCTCGCACACACGCCACATATATGTGAAAACCCACACCCACACGCCACAAAACAGGGAAACAAATGTTAGAAAATGTGAATATTCCTGTGTGTTTCATACTTTGTCCGCGTAGCCCCTTCGAATACCCAGTAACATGCCGGCCCTGCGACACAATTCAGGGGTCTCATGCTACTGAGCTAGTTACCCGGGAGTGTCTGGTCATGCCATAGTCAAAAAACGAGAAGCCTAGAAAACAAAGTTTTCTGAGCACCTGATGGTCTTTGGAATATTTTCAGAGCCACCTTCCAGCATGAGAGAATATCCGAGAGATGTGATTTGAATTGATAAACAGTTTGAGATCTTCTGTACAAGAATACCTGATTAACCTGAAGTCTTGAAAAAAAAAATTATCCAGATGACTTTATGGAGATCTTAAAACATATGATGGACTTTGGTATAATTTCTAAGCTGCCGTGTTTCATATGAGATAAAATCTGAAAAATGTGATATGGACTATGAAATACTTGGGTATCTTTAGAATGAAAACTGATCAATCTGAATTCTTGAAAAAAAAACCTGAGGTTTTCAATGTGATCTCTCATCGCTTGATGTCATTTAAAAAAAATTATGATTCCAGGTTGATCTTTGAGAATATCTTGGAGATGTTATTTGATTTGTTGAGTAGTTGAAGATCTTCAGAATGATGCTGAATGAATGATCAAGCTGAAGTCTTTACCAAATATTTTGATGATATTTTGTAGATCTATGATCACCTAGAGGTCTTTTGAATATTTTTTGAGAAACCTGGTATTTTGAGAGGATATTTGGGAGATATGATTTGTATTGTTGTGCAGTTGAAGATCTTGAGGGTGATACCTGATCAAAATGAAGTCTTAAACAAATATTTGTGGACTTTTGGAGATGTCTGATCACCTGGAGGTCTTTATTTATTTATTTATTATTATTATAGTCCATCTGACTTGATAGTCTCAATGAAACACTTAAATCTAAATGTAGTCACTCATTAAAAATTAAAAATTGGCCAACAGCAAACGATGACGAAACATCGAGGCATTGATGTCAAAGTCAAATAGGTCAGAGGCTTCGTTGAATTGATGAATCATGGCGACAAAGGAACTGTTTGCAGCATAGTTGGTTGCATGTACTACTTCATGTAGCAAGGTTCTCGGACGGAGTGTTCGGGCAGGAGCATACAGATTAATTTTGGCCAGTAACTCAGGAACATCATATTCTGCGAGTAAAACTTTAGCAA